TATATATATATATATATATATATAAGTACTTAAACCCGAGCCCAGCTTCTGCAGCCAGCCCCTGTGTAGCATGTTGATGCTTGCCCAGTGCCTGGCTCACATCATGCTGACTACAGGTTAGCTGCTGTTGCTGGTATTATAATGTTTATAATATTAAAAATTTAATTGAAATTGCAGTTGAAACATCATTCATGCTCAGTACAAAATATGATTTCCCTTTCCTTAAGAACACTGTGTGCTTCAGGGCACCAAACCTCAAAAAGGCAAGTCATGTTGGAGGCCCAGGAGGGTTATGGAACCGAGGGGCAGAAAACAGAACTTTGTGTCAGCAATACACCAGCTTGGAAGCACATGCAGATACTATTTCTACTATGGGAAAACCCAGCACAGTTGGCTGAACCCCAGGCTACAGGGGCTGGGGAGGTGGCCTGTGATGGGCTGGCTTTCAGTCCAGAGCTGAACATATAGGGCCCACAGGTGGGAAATCTGTGGGGCTCCCTTAGGCGGCAGGCGAGGAGGTTGTTGATCTGAGTGGGGGTGCTGGAGACATGCTCTGACCAAGTCCCGAGAGTCTGGGACGCCGGCCCCCTGAGAGGAGTGCTGCTGGCTTTGTGAGGTTACACAGACCACAACATGCTTTCCCCTTCACTTTAGTTAGAGTTCGGGGACCTGACTGTGCTCACAAGGCCATCATTAAGTTAGTGGCTCTTCTGGAGCTTGAGCTCTGGGTTCTGCCCTCCTGCTGGTGAATCCCAGAGGATGTCATGAGCCCGTGGAAGGCTGACCACAGCCGGGAGCAGCAGGGCCCAGCCTGGTGGCTCACATGTTCCATACTGGCCTTTGTGTCGTGTCCCTACTGAATGTGTTGTAAACAGCCTTATGGCCTATTGAGACTGTCCTGCTAAGATGAAAGGGTTGAGGGGTTTGAAATAGTCTGAAACTCAGTACGAGATGCTCTAATTGCTGGGGTCTGGGACCCGAGTTTGTTGAGCTGTGGTTGGCACTGGTGTCCCATTTGCTATTTCTGCCCTCGCTCCTTTGACATCCCCAGGTTTTAGGTCACATCATGGAGTGTTTTTTCCTTTTCAAATCGCACAGCTAATGATGGAAAAGGAGCTCCTGTGTACACTGGGGAGGTGGACTGCACCTACTTCTTCACATGGGACACGAAGTACGCCTGTGTGGAAGAGAAGGAGGGTCTCCTGTGCAGCGTCGCAGATGGGAAGAAGAGGCACGACCTGTCCGCTCTGGCACGGCACTCAGGTGCGTCACTGGGCCGTGGCATGTGCGTGGGTGTGCTCGTCAGTGCAAGGCAGGAAGGGGGCTCCCGCGCCTCTAACCTGGGGATGCACTGGGAAATGCTGTTCGATTTTCTTTAATTGCCAACCAGTTGTATCAGGGCCTTTCTCCCCTTTATGTAGCAACATGACTTTTAGAAATGACGCTGAATTAGGAAGCAAAAATGCCTGAATTTGAACTTGGAATTACTGGTTTACACTTAGGAAAAGTTGGTGTAATCTTGTCTTAGTTTTGTAGAAACCGCCAAGTGCTGGGCCTTGTGCTTTATGATTAGAATTTTTTTTTTTAAATTTAAACTCTTGTTAAGACAGTAGATCTTAGAAGTTCTCATTCAAGAAAAAAGAATTTGTATTTACATGTGTTGATGGATGTTAACTAGACTAAGTGTGGTGATAACTTTGCAATATACATGTATGTCAGCTCTTGACATTGTACACCAAGATGAATAAAGTGTTATAGGTGAATTACATCTCAATAAATAAAAATTAATTTAAACTCCTACAACAACCACAGTAGGCAGTGTTCCCACTGAGCGCCCAGGCTGTCGTCAGGTTCAAGGGGTGGTGCACTTGGTGTGAAGGTGATGGGCCCGAGGTCAGGCCGCTTTGTGGCCCTGTGCTCATTCCTGGTCTCATGGCCTCTTCCCCCATCTCTAAAATTGGATCAGCTTTCTCTGACCAAAGTCTGATTCTTCCCGACGCCGAGTGGAGAGTGTGGGTGGGAGCCCCCTGGACGCTGTGTGGTGATGGCCAGGGCTTGGCAGGGCTGTTGCAGGGCCTGGCTCTCAAGTGTTTTTATGTGGCAGGTGTCAGACTTGGTTCTGGGGAAACAGCCTCTCAGCTGGCTCCATGGGAGGGACCACACACAGGGGCCAGCTCAGCCCCTTCCCCAGGGGCCTTAGAATTTAGCAGACAGCAGAGAATAAGAATGAAAATGGGGGCTTGTGACAGGGAGAACTGGATCTAGTTGGGAAATTTCTTGTTTCACCCTTTTAGCAGCCTTGGAATTAGGAATATCTAGAGGTGAGTTATATCTGAAAACACCTAAGGCAGAGAGAAATTCTTGGCCCTAAGTCACATAATTACCAGCTGTGGTAACAACGATTACTCACATGTTTCCAGTCCCATCTGGTTCAGAGAGTATAATACTAGAAAGAGGAACTCCTCTTGTGGGGAGTGTTGGGAAGCACTCCTTTAAACCCGGGGCCACCTCTAAATGCCGGTGTCGGTGAGGTGCCTTGGAAGTGAACGTGCTTTTGTAGTTTGGCCTCCTGTAAGCCGGGGATGCTGCCTTGGCTGGATTCTGGTGCACGTGTGTTCATGGAGAGAGGGGTTTTCTGCAGCGGACAGAGCGGTCAGCTCTGAGCAGACTGATGAGGGCTGGTGTCGCTATATCCAGCTGTGTGTGTTGCCTGCTTTCTCCTGGCCTCAGTTTTCTTACGCAAACTGAGTGGTGGTATTAGATCCCTTTATTTAACATTGTTTTGATTTTAACATCACAACGTCGGGGTCTGGGAGGTATGCACAGATACTTCTGCTCACTCAGTGGTTCTCTTAGCCTCTGTTCTGGTTCTCTGGGGCACAGGAGTATTTGGGTAGTATTCGCACCCAGATAACTAAGGAAGCCTGTGAGCTGAAATCTTCCTTAGTGTAATGAGTCCTCCTATCCTATGGCCTTTCAACGTACCCCACTCCCAGGGGCACTTATGCAGTCATCGGTGGGTCCCTGATGTGGTGTGCTTCTGGGGCATAGAGGTGAAGCCTGAGAATCTCAGTGAACTTCTGTGCCTTCAGCCTGCCTGGCTCTGGAAACATGAGGGCCCGAGGCTTGGAGACCACATGCTTAGTGAGCTTTGGGCATTGCCTTCCATTTACCAGTTACGGTGTGACTCACGGAGAGATAATCACAGCCTTTGGCTAAAAGAAGCTTGTTTTTGGTTTACAGAACCGGAACAGAATTGGGAAGCTGTGGATGGCAGCCAGAGGGGAACAGAAAAGAAGCATTTCTTCCTCAATATCTGCCACAAAGTGCTGCAGGAAGGCCAGGCGAGAGGCTGCCCTGAAGATGCAGCTGTGTGCTCTGTCGGTGAGTTGTGCCTGGAGCGAGCATCGAGGTAACAGTTTCCTGCAGGCGTGCAGAATGGGGCTACGTCCAGTTCAGAGTGAGTTAGAAAATCTTCCTCTATTTGTCTAAGCTTCTTTTCTTATATGGGTTCAGCATATAAAAGCTGGTAAATAAACAATTTAATGACTCCCACATAGGTAGGTGGTACACTCTGGTAACGGTGGAACTTTGGGGATCCTGAGGAACTTGGGGGATCCTGAGGTTGGCTGCAGCTTTCGATGGCTGACATCATCCCTAGGACCAGAAGGAACCATGTTGCAATATACTTGATTATTTTTGACTTTGTAACTTGAAACATAACTTTCCCAGTGCCTATGTAAACTGATTTTGATTTTTCAACAACTTTTACTGCCTGCAGTTGTTCCAATGTTATGGTGTAAGGCAAGTGGAACCTCAAGTTAGCCTTCATGTAAGAGTACTTGCACCCCTTAGGTACTTCTTGCTGTAATTGTTTTGGTCCTGCAGAGACTACTCAATTTGAAACAAGTTATTTAGCATATTAATTGTTCGTCACTTAAGACTCATTTTGGAAATGACTGGCAGTGAGGGTAATTGCAGTCTGTTACAAACCATGGATAAGGAATTGTGCACTCAGGTTGGATTTTAGGATTGACCCGAGTATTCAGAATCGGTGGTGGTGCATGTCTCTCAAGGCAGCTCCAGGCATCTTCATGCCTTTATTTAGAAGGACGTGGGACAAAATGTCAGTACGTCATGGTAAAAATCAACTGAACCAAGAGTTACACGGTCACCTCTTTGGCTAGCTGAACAGGTTTGGTTAGTTTCTGCTCTGGTCATGGGACAAACTGTAGCTCCTAGTCTGTGCTTTCATAAGACTTTGTGTCTTGGGGGAACAGAGGCCCTGAAAGTGGGGGCGCTGCATTACTATACAGGATGGCATGATGTGTGCTTGCTATTCTGCCTCCTGTGCCCACGGGGGACATTAACATTTTCTCACTTTCCTACTACTACAAGAGGTGGCCTTGGGGTCCTCCCCATGGCTGCCACTGCCCAGTCAAACTTGGTATTCAAGAAAACCCCACTGAGCGCCGGGGCCAGGCTTGGTGGGCTCGGGGAGGGCCACTGCGTACCTCCTGGGTGTTGGCTGATTTTTGGTACTTCTCTGTGTCATTGTCACCTTTAATCGTGTCTTGTTTTCTCCCCTTTCTTTCTCTTTTCCAGATAAGAGTGAATTTAAAAATCTGGGCAAATTTATTTCTTCTCCGACAAAAGAGAAAGGAAATATTCAGCTCTCTTATTCAGATGGTGATGACTGTGGCAAAAATAAGAAAACACAGACAAACATAACACTTATATGCAAGCCAGGTAAAAATTTAAGACAAAAAAAGAAAATGATGAAATATCATAGAGGCTTTCCCAGAGGTGTGTTGTGTTCTTGGCTTCTGCCAAGTTGAGGGGCCGCTGCCAAGTCGAGGGGCAGTGCCAGGCTTTTCAGGGTCCAGTGCCTATAGTGGTGTGGGCACTTGGGCTGGAACCCTACCCCCTGAGCAGACCAGTCCGGAGATGGAGGAAGGGCCCCAGCCTGGCCTTCCTCTTCCTTGGGCCTGATGCAGCCTGAGCGGACGGCCTGCTTGACTTCCTCCAAAGGGGGAAACCACAGACAATTCCAAGTGTCCGTGATCTCACCACGTAAACCCAGTGCTCCTTCTCAGTTACCTTTATTTACAGGTTTACATTACTTATACGGTGTCAAACTCTATTTACCTCAAGATATAGTAATTTGTGGATATCTTCCTATGTTTCAGTTGTATTTATAATTTTCAGGGACTTTCTTGTTGATAACAGCTTGGTTTTACTATTTTTAAACATGTTTTCCTGTTGTTCAGTTATTAGGCTGTTTCCAGCGTTGGTGATCGTGCTAAGTACGTATCTTCTCTTCAGCTTCTGTTGCTGTATTTCCTTTGGTTGAATTCCCAGCTGTGGAGAAGGTCAATAATTGTAGTAAAATACACATAACATGAAATTGATATTAGCCTTCTTGAAGTGTGCACTTCTGTAGCATTAAGTATATTTACACTGTGGGGTGACCATCCCCACCACCCCTCTCCAGAACTTTCCATCTTCCCAAACTGAAACTCTATCCCTTTAAATGCTGACTCCTCGTTTTCCTCCCCCAGTCCTCCGCAGCCACCTTTTCTTCCTCTGTAGGTGTGACTGCCTTAGGAACCTCATGTCAGTGGAATTGTGTACTGGTAGGACTGTTTTTGGACTAAGGGAAGATTTTCAGGAGTGATTCATGAGAGCTCTTTCTTCTCCACTGACAGGTGATCTGGAAAGTGCTCCAGTGTTGAGAACGTCCACGGAGGACGGTTGCTTCTACGAGTTTGAGTGGCACACGGCTGCTGCCTGCGTGCTCTCCAAGACGCAGGGAGAGAACTGCACGGTCTTTGATTCCCAGGCAGGTGTGTGTCCGAACAGTCATAACGCTGTGGCATCATCTGGAACTGCCTAGGTGGTTCTGTTTTTGTTCTTTAATCTTTCCTATGTGTTACAGGTAATGTGCTTTAGAAATAAATTCTGTTTAGCCACAGTTCTGAAAATCTGATGTTTGAGGCTTGAGACAATGAAAAACCTATCTTTAACTCCTGGTTTAGGTAGGTGTGCTTGAATGTAAAACCTGAGGATCTCAGGGAAGTAAATCATGTTTAAAAAAGGATTTTTTGAGTGAGTTTCTGGTTTAGAAACCCACCTCAGAGAGGCTTTTCAAGAAGACCATTGTATTGTGGTCATCCCATTTTGAATGTCCTGGTTGTTGATTCGACCATTAATTATGCGCTTTGAAAAGGTTTTTAGGGGAACACAGTAGGGGAATGGTGGTGGTGGGCTCATCTCCAGGGGAAAGGTCACTGCAGTTCTGGTGCAAAGTCCTGGAGGAAAGAGTATCTTTTCTTCCCTTCCAGTTGCCCTGCCCTGGGCAGTCCCTTGGAAGTCTCTCTCCTTGAAACTTTGAGCTCAGGACCCTCTTCCTCCCTCCCTCCCTCCCTCCCTTCCCCTCCCTTCCTTCCTTCCTTCC